AGAGCAGGTAAATGACAAAGAGTTTGGCAAGTACTGATCTGGACCTTTAAACCACCCCTTGACCATATTTGCTGTGTTCTCCACTTAGACAAACTTGCCCTAATTCATGAACCCCAATTTTTGCTTTAAAAAAGCACTTCAAAAAATCAGTTCGTTTACCTCTGTGTCCCTCCTTCCTCACCCCCACCTCAATTTCTCTCTCAGTCTCTGCCTCTCCTTGCCCCTCTCGCACACGCAGGCTGGGCAGTGTTCTACAGCAATCTGCATACTTGAACCCTTTTCAGAGATGCACGGCACACAAGCATGCTGATGTGCTGTGTCTCAGGTTGGACTCCTCCCCAAACTTAATACATACTTTTCCAAGCCAAGGTTTCAAATCCTGAAGTATCACTGTACGAGAACTTCTTTAGAGGTCCAGTCTGACAGTTACTTTCTCCTAGGTATCCAAAACCATTAGGAGGTATTCATAGCGATTCTTAATGCGAGATCTTGACATACTTACCATTTGATATCAAAGTTTGAGAACATTTGTATCAAAGTTCTTTAATTACTATAATGCTTCTGATACGAATTATCATGGAAAAATAACTCTACTAACCAATACATCTGAATAGCCAAACACACTATTTCCCAACCAAGTACGTTATACTAACAGTAAGTTTGCTGTATCGTATCATCTTTAAAAAGAACCAAATAATCTATTTAAAAATATTTGCTCTATTTATATTAAACTAAATTATACAATCTTTATGAGTACACAGTCAAATTAATCAAAAGTAATACTATATAAGTAAAAAAAGTTAACTTGTCTACAAGAATTTTTTTTAATTACTAAAGTAGATTGTTAGAGTTTTGTTTTTACTTAAATTACGAAAAATGCCTTTACATACAAGCCAATAATTTCCTTAGCCCTAAATACTGCTGGATGTTGCTAAGCCTTATCTGCAGTCAGCAGTTTCCAGAATTGACTGGCGGGACTGGAAGGAGGGGGATGCACAGGGACCAGAGAGAGGACAAGGAGGACAAAGCGTGGCTCTACAGACAGACAGACTCTAAATTAACTCAAGAGCCACTTAATGCCTCCATTCAACAATTACATCCACTGCCACAATAATTTCCTTCGCATTCGCTGGGAAAATACTTGCCTGCTGGCGCTGTAAGAGGAGTCCATTATGGTTCCAACCTGGGCTGGGAGTGAGGAAGGGTAGGAAACCAAGGCTGGCGAGAACTCTTGAGGGGAGGTGAGATACTCAGGTGATGCCAGTTGCCGCGACTGCTGACGCTGAGCTAACACCTGCTGCTGCAAGAAAGCCTGCTGATACTGCTGCATCTGAAACAGAAAACGACACGGTACAAAACAAGCTCAAGTCACTAAAGCACATGGCTATTTTCACGTTGGTGACAAAATCAGAAATCTGAAAAACAATTATCTGAAGGAGCAGCTATACTACTAGAAAACTACAGCAAGAAAAAATCAATCTATTTAAGAAGTTGTAAAACTAGGCTCACTTGGCCAGATTCAAAAATCCTCCTTTAAATATTTTAAGAAAAATAGAGTAGCTTAAAGTCACTAGTATGGTGGTTGCTGTAAAAAAGGTCAAACTATTCTCTGAAGCAAATGCACTTTCCCTGTAAGTTCCATTTTTTGTGCTCAGTAGATATTGATGAACGAAAGAGACACGACATGAGATTATGGATAAGAGGTCATTTCCCTTATACTATGAGATAAGAGAAGTATGTTAATCCGTCAGTTACAATATGCCATGTTCAGGTACCAGAGTTCCCGGCAATTTAAAGCTGCTTGAGAACCTATGACTGGCTTTGATAAGATACATGTAATTATTTGAACTGATTTTGAAATATTAAATTCTGAATAATACTATTTATACTGTGCATTCCAACACAATAATATAATGTATACTCAGAGAAATCTCTAGAAGTTATTTAACATTTACCATCGTAGGGTACTGTGGTGCAGATTGCGGCTGATACGCGGAGTGCGCTAAGAGCTGCTGCTGAAGCATGTGCTGCTGCTGCATTGCATGCTGATACTACAATGACAAGAATCAGTCAGTCAGTTCCGTGCATGCTTTTTTTGTGCCAGAGTCCTTTTCTTAAGTACTGATCTTACCATACAATGATGTGGCAAATCCGTCATCCAAACACTAACGCAAAACAGCTACAGTCTGTAAGTGACTGTAACTTATACATGCTTATTGGAATTCGCTTCAAAATTATCAACAAAACTTAACAGAAATTCAACTAAATCCCATTTCAGCACAGTGTAAGTATGTTTACAAGGAAGCTATCCCTAAACACATTTACCACCTGTCCTAGGTGACCAAAAGCCCTGAAGTGACGTCTGACCAGGACTCCTCACAGCAACCCCTGCTGGCTTCTGCCCCTGCGATGGTGCCGTCTGCGATGGCCACACGCCACCCTCCACACTGAGTCCGCAGCCCAAAACCAGACAGTGTGACAGGCACACAACTGGCTCAGAAATGTTTCAGGAAATGATAAAATGGTGGTGATGGTCGTTAGATTTAAATAGTTTGGTGAAACTAGAAATGAGCAGGGTCTGATGAGGCAAAAGATAAAACAGAACTTAAGCTCATTTTTTTCCACGTCCCTTCAACTCCAAATGCTGTCTCTCTCCCCCGGGCCAACCCAGGCAAAAAAACAAAAGAAAAACAAAACAAAACAAAAAAATCTAAGAAAATTTTACTTCTGAAAAGCTTAATATCACCTTTCCAACAATAACATTATTAGTCTGTGAACTCAAAATGCAGCCTCAAGCAAGTGATGTTCATCACAAACGGCACTGCTTGTCTGTGAATACATGTCAGATGAACATTCTTCTCTTCGTACTGCAAGAAGCAACCTATCTAACAGAGCATTCTCCAGTTCTCACTGAATGCGAATTAAATACACAGTCTTTAATAATTAGAAAACCGGGAAAAATGTGTGCTTGAATCCAGAGTTCAAGATGCCGTGACACCGAAGGAACGCACTGACACTCTGCTGCCGCACCCATCCCGTGCCACCTCCACACCGACAGTAGCAAACGTCACCTGCTGCGCGTAAGCATCCTGAAGCAGCGGCGGCTGCAGGTGCTGCAGTCTCCAGTCCCCCTGCTGCAGCTGCTGCAGGACTCGGTGCTGCGGGGGCGGCTGCTGAGGAGGCCCCTGACCCAGTAAAGTGTCAGGGCCATTTCCAGGTCTTGGTGCCCCTAAAACAGGTTTCCATAAACTTGTATTAACACACTAACGATTTCGATCAAATGGCTAGATTTCAAAACACTCATTTCAATCATCGTTTAAGGCATTTATATCTTTATAACAGAAAGACTTCCATATGTGTATAGTCTAAGGGGATTATTTACTGTAATTTTAAGTACTCAGAAAATTAATTTTGTCACATATAATTGTGAACAAGCCAACATGTCAGAAACCGTTCCTGTTTCATCTCTGCATGGAGACACCAGCCATGTCAGTTCGTCCTACATTTCTAAAGTACATCGTGCACTATTACGGGTACATATCGTTACCAACGTGATTCTCAGTCTACAATGTCATTTTCCTCCTACTGAAATTTTTCTCATTCTTTAAAGTTTAACCTCAAATCTCTCTTCCTCACTCCTTCATCTAACACTCTCCCTCAGTTTATTACATTTCAGTCTGTCTTGCACACACCAATGGCTTACATGGCTACTTCCTAACCAGGGACCCTGCAGGAAAGGGTCTGTTATCTGTTACAGTCCCAAAGAACCTTTTATATAATGGATGCTCAATAAATGCTCACAAAGTGAATCTATTAATACTGTCTCCTAAATGGATACTTACTTATAAGCTCCATGAGTTTTATTCTAGGCAAATTCTGAACTTTTGAAATTAATTAAAAAGATACACACATCAGACCAGGAGCAGTGGCTCACACCTGTAATCCTAGCACTCTGGGAGGCCGAGGCAGGAGGATCGCTGGAGCTCAGTTCGAGACCAGCCTGAGCAAGAGCAAGACCCTGTCTCTACTAAAAATAGAAAAAATTAGCCGGGCATGGTGGCGCGTGCCTATAGTCTCAGCTACTCAAGAGGCTCAGGCAGGAGGATCGCTTGAGCCAAGAAGTTTGAGGTTGCTGTGAGCTAGGCTGACACCACGCACGCTAGCCTAGGCAACAGAGCAAGACTCTGTCTCAAAAAAAAAGCATCAAAAAAAAGGAAATGCAATACACTAGTACATTATAATTTCTATATTCTCTTCCAATGACTTATCATTCAAATGCAACTGCTCAATCCTAGAGTTAAGTGGCGGAAGAGAAGCATTCTTTTTTCATCAATGTTAGTATCTTCAAACCTCCTCTGGCCTAAGTATAACATGTCCATGAAAATAGTTTTATAACTATTTCTAAATCTTCTAATTATAAAAATATGCATGTTCATTTTAATTTTTCTTGAAA